TTAGACTTTTTTTAATTTATTTTTATTTTTTACATATAATTGTAACGCAATACATGATTGTCACTAAAAGCCTTGTCTCTACATTACAATAAAATATAAAAAATCATTGATTAATTAATTTGAATACAAATTCAAGTTAGTAGTTATTATAGGCATAAAAAGACAGACATGTATAATTATGTCTTTAATATAAATGTTTCTTCTGCCCGTAAAGTGTCCAAACCAGGCTTTTCTGGATAAGCGCATTTTTAAAACATAGTCATTGTCCATGCCGGTTTCAGATTATTTGTCACAGTTTCTCCGATCAGATTGGTCTCCTCCATTTTGTAGATTGTTTACGACTTTTGAATCCACATAAACACATCGGCAAAATCCGGCTTACTTTGAGCATGTGTTTTAACCCTTAAAGACCTAGACGGAATTTTCGCCTGCCTGACTCTCCTGTATTTATTTGTTTCTCCTAACCTGTTCTAACCTTTTCTAGCAGTCAGCATCAAGTGCCTTACCTCATTTGATTCAGGAGAACCTCTAGTTCAAGTCTGGTTAATTTAAAGTCCAAATTTTACCTTAACTTTGTGTGATAATGGCTGAATTTACCAGCACTTTTCAAAAACGCCAGTACAAATGTTGTGTTGCTTTACCGTTTACTCCGCCAGGAACATAGGAATTTTCTTTTTTATTATTTATAAAGCTGCATTTAGATGTTTTAGGCTTTCAAATGAAATTTAATATGCATATTATGTTCCCTTAGCAAGTTACAGCTATTTATTACAATATTATCCTTCAGTGAAAAACGCCTAGGATAATATGGAATAATAAAAACGAAATGTATTTCCATATTTAAATGGCTGATCATGTTTCTTCTGTCGAAAAAAGGTTGAGAGAGTACAAAAATATATTATCATTTGAACATTTAAATACAAACACAAACAGTGAAACAAATTCCAAGTGCTGGAGATACAAAGTGCAAATGAACAAAGTGCAAATTATATTGAAACTATAAACAAAGTATTAGGAATATATAGAAAGTGCAAATGTACAAAGAGCAAATGATCTTCAAACTATAAACAAAATATTAGAAAAATATACAAAGAGCAAAGGAAATGTATCAACATTTTTTAAATTATTTACATTAAATTACAATCAAACTTGATTCAGTCAATCGAAAGGTTTTACGTGCAGCTGCTATGCCACTTGCTGAAGCAATTTCTGTGAGCCACAAGACACAGTGTCACATCACACCACGCACACTTCCAGATGGAACGTTTTTTGCAGAGCACACATTTTCGCCGACCTTTTGTTGCCGTGTCTCCTGACCTCCGTCTCGCAAATTAGTCAATTCCCTCTTCCTCCTCCTCCTCCTCGTCTGCACAGGACATTTACTCTGGCAAGCACTGTGCCCCTCTGGGTGGCACAAAGCTGCCAATCGGGACTCCACACAGCTCTGCAGACAGCTCCTCCATGAACTGGGCGTGGGACATGCCACTGACCCTGAGGACAGACACATCTCCTTGTGCAGAATATAGCTGTTGGTTGCAGCAATGTCTATAAAGTGGTACAGCAGTGTCCTGTACCACCTGTTGGACCTCTTGTGCACTGAATAGTATTGGATGAGCTGGTCAGACAAGTTCACCCCACCCATGTATTTATTATATTCAACCACACAACGAGGTGCCATGATGTTTTCTTTTTGCCATTTCCCCGTTTCCTTAGCATACACATTCCTGGTGACAGTGTCTCCATTGAAGGCTTGGTGTATTGTAGAGCACACTGACACCTCTCTCGTATCCATCCACTTCACAAACAAAAGCTCCTTCTCTCTGAGCCATCGGATTGAGCCCCTGGGGCTCTTTGAGGTTAGCGCATTCAATTGATTTAGGCACGTTCTTCCGATTGTCGCGGAATGCACCACATGCCACAAAACCCCTTGCAAATAGGTCAGTAAAAAGTGTTGGGCTGGTGTAGAAATTGTCTACAAAAAGATGGTAACCTCTCCCCAAGTAGGAATTATCCATTAGGCCGATGACAACATCATAGGAGAGACCCTGCCCTGAAATGAAGCGGCTCTTTCCAGTATAGATGGAAAAATCGATGGTATACCCATTGCTGGAGTCTGCTAACACTAACAGCTTCACACCCCACTTAGTTGGCTTGGCCTTCATGTACTGCCTCAGTCCAATTTTGGCTTTTGTGGCCACCATCCGTTCATCAATTGAAATGTCTTTCCTAGGCTGCCACATTGCCTTGCATGCCTCTTTTATGGTGGCTTGAAGTGGTTTTAGGCGATGGAGTGGATCGTACTCTGGGGTGTCCTTTTTCCGGTCATTTGCCAAATCATGGTCTGGGTCGCTCAGGTGTACAGCTCTGCTGATTGCCATGAACCTGTCTCTTGTCATGACAGAAGCAGGAAAGAGAACACTTAGGTGTGATCCCTTCCTCCAGTAGTCTCTTACTTTTGGCAGTTTTAGAAGTGCCATGAACATCATAAGGCCGACATACATGAGGAATGTTACCGGCTTTAGCTCTTCCCAAACAAACTTTTTCCCCTTAGCCTGCTCCTTTTCAGCATTTTTGTTTGTGTTCTTGCAGATGATATTTACAGCTTGGTTGTCAAAAAAATGTCTAAATATTTGTGCAGGAGTATACTCCACACCAACAAAACCTTGGACTCCAGGGGCTCTTTTCGGGCAAAAGTGTGGTAGTTGTTGGGCAGTATCTGGCACCTCAGGTCCGTTCCAAACAGCTCCTGGCTCTTCTGGGGTCAGAGATGGTTTTTTCCCTTTTTCTCTTCCTCTCCCTTTCACTGTCAGGGGGGCTGGCATTGGTTTGGCCTTTTTTCTGGATGCTGCACCCTCCTGGCCACATTCTTTTCTCTCTCGGTTTGAAGGAGGCCTACTGATGGGGACAGTGGCTTGTGCATCCCCTCTCTCATCCTCTGGACTAAAATAAAAGGGAGGAAAATATACAGATATAAATGTCTGAATTTATTTTATTTCCTTTATTGCTTTTATTTCTCCGGTGTCATCCTATCTATTTTCTAAACACAGTCTCAACTTTTGATTTGATACACACTTTAACCCTCTGCTAACATTACTAGTTGATGGAATCAGTAACTGAATTGTAATGCAATGAATATAATAACATTAGACCTTATAACAAACAACCAAAGAGGGCAAGCGGAATGAGGCAATAAATGAAAGGTATTGCTTGACGTTTTTTTACTGAAATAAATAGTAGCCTCTATTGATAGTGAATCTTGAGCTCAGGACTTCACTTTATGACACAATTACGGCAAATGGCCATCCATTATAAAAACTCTTAGGACGAATTATTTTTGGCGTTATACAGAAATAGCAACCTATAAATGCAACACAAACAATAAGAAATAAGCAAAGTTACTCACTTTTTATCTTCGAAGGGATCAATCCCGTGATCATACTCCTCTTCATCACGCCAGCTGTCAGCTTCGGAATCTGAGGAATCCACCGCTGCATCGCTAAGCGGTCCGCCGGACAAAATAAATTCTACGGCTTCTTCCGTAGTGTAACGCCGTTTTGACATGTTGGGTTGAATTTGTCTTGGGATGTGTGTGTGTATATGTATGTATGTGTGTGACTGTATCTAGATATCTCGTGTTGTATTTATTTATTTTACGCTGGCAAAATTACTCTTCCAACAGGAGTCATTTGGGGGGGCTCTTGGGGAAAAAAGGTTGGGAACCCCTGCTGAGAGAGCTTTCAGAGCGGTTCCTCTCAGAAGAGCAGCAGCTGGGCGGAGTCACAGAATCGCTCAACTGATCTTCACTCCCGACCGTTCGCACCACTCAAAACAATGTTTCGTGTTTTTCTCTCTCTCTGCGAACAGGCAAGGCAGGCAACTGCTTGGGGCCCCGGACCAGAAGGGGGCCCCCAAAGAAGGTAGATTAAGAAGGTCCACAGCAATGACAACATGAAACACCCTTTAATTTACTGCAACGACATGTCGGGAAACCCCCTCAAGGCGGCCCCATGCACAGTGCGCCGTAAAATGCTGCTTCTTATCTTAAGTTTCGTGGCCTTGCTCCGCTGTGCGTGGTGATGAAAAGCTGGTTTGAGGGGCCCCCAGTGAATGTTTGCCTAGGGCCCCCACAGACTCTAGAATCGGCACTGACCATGCTGGTCTACCAGGATTGTCTTGCTGGTGATACAGCTTCACCAGCAATAGAGTTATTTTAGACACAATTAACACTTATAGTTTCATGTCTTGTTACATAAGAATAGATCATATTTGTTAAGTGTTATTATGGGAGAATTACTTTTCTTGTGGTACTACTGCCTTATTACATTACATGTTACTTGTTAGATGCTTTTATCCAAAGTGACTTACATACTCAATACTGTGGGCAATCCCCACAGGAGCAATTTGGGCTGACTTGCAGTGGGGTTTGAACCTGTGACCCCCTGATCCGAACACCTGCGCACAACTCACTGTGCCAAACGCCGCCCTTATTAGGCCCATATTGAGCAGAGCATATTAAGACCAAAATTCATGTACAACAACTTCCTTACTTGCAATAAATAAGCACTAATTAGAGGGTTATTGAGGAAAAACTCTCAACTAATGGCCTATTACTTGTAGAATATGGTCATGTAGAATAAGGCATTAATAAGTGTTTTATGATGACTAATAAAGAGCCTTTATACTGCTAATATGCATGTTAATTAACAACTAGTTGATGGCGAATTGGTGTGCCTTAATATAAAGTGTTACCGATACGTACAAGAAAAGAGGAAGCAAAAAAAAAGAAAATTACAAAAAATCCCCTCAGTTACTTGGGAAAGTAAACTAGTGATGTACTTCTGCTTTATTAGTAACATGGGGGGGGGGGGGGGGGGGGGGGCGGCAGAGTGGCTTGAAGCTGTGTAGAAATGAAGCCAGGGTGGGTTGGGGCAGCTGCACAGCAGCTCTGTCAGTGAGAGGCCCCTCCCCCCATGTAGATCAGTGTGTCTCAGTGACAGTTCACACAATGTGCCTGAGACACAGAGGAGGACAGCACTGGCAGCCCCACAGGCTCACTGAGATGGTTCACTGACAACAGGCTTCTTGTGTGTGGACGGACCTCAGCTAACATGGTGAGTACTGCAGCTCAGATCAGAATCAGCTGCTGGACCTTCAGTTAGAGTCACCATCGTCCTAATTCTGCTCTGCTGTGTCCGGTGCTCGTCCAGAGGAATGTCCCTGCAGACCACCTGCTCTGATTTCAATTGAACTTGCGGTGACAGCGGCCGCCTATTCCTACACACAGCACCTCTGAGCTGTAACCTGAGAGCCTATTTACACACAAGTCATCACAACTCAATGATCTACTCAGAAAGCGATCATATCCATTCATGAATTTTAAATACCATGTGAATGCATGTGAGGGTACTTTTAGTTTGGGGGGTGTGAATTGGTTCCAGCTTTATTTCTTGAATCGTATGCCTCTTTAACCTCAGCTGGGCCGCTCTGGCCAGATTGTGCTTGTGATATTCTAGGTTAATGTTTTCTAAAACTGGTTGCAACCATACCAATAAATAAAAAGCCATATATTTGCTTGTTAGAGGCCCTAAGCCGATCAATAAAGGACTACATATAGTCCAAGAGAATAACTATGTCTGACTTCTACAGTTCCTCAACACATTTTCTAAGACTAGTTCTGATTGATGGATTGAATTATTTGATGATTAAAAGTACAGAATCACTCTGCAGCTTCTATTACTCTGGTGGCAAATGTTTCAAAAGCCTTGATAAGATTGATGACGAAGCTTCCTCTCCTCTGTAGCTCATAGAGGGGAAGGATATGTATCAACCGGACATTGCAAGAACAATATTTATCTGAGCTCATCGTATTCATCGCTTCCTTAGAGAAAACACTGCTTTGTTGATGACTAACTTTCAGTGTTGCCATCTTATTTCCTTTCATGTCATATTTGAGCTAATTGACAGCTATTTTAGAAGGGCTGCTGTGCTGCCTGTTTTTGTCCTCTGAGAGCAAGTCAGTACAGTCATGAGCTTAACACACTCCTTTCTATCCCTCCATAGGTTATCCAGCCATGCATTGAGGAATATTAAGATAGCTCTGGAATATATAAAAATGTATAAATGTATGTACATTTGTGTTCACGAGTTTGACAAAAACGACTTAACAAAATGTTGCTCCAAAGCTCTAATGCTGTTCAAAAATTCCATAGGGTAGCTTTAAATGATACATCAGATTTACTGCAAAACTGCCAGTGTTACACACAAAGTAAAAAGCTTTGTTTTTATACGTTTTTATAGTTCTGTCTCCAAGGAAGTTAAAAGTGTTAAATGTCTAGTAGGTAAACAACGTTTGTCTCTGTGCAGGGACAAAGACCTTGCACAGAGACAAGCCACTGCTTAGAGTTTCTGATCAGCAGTGAATGCTCCATCATACAGTCACTGTAACAGCTACAAGACAGAGTGACACACAGGAAGTGTGAGTATAAATAACAGCAGTGTGAGCACGGAGATTAGTTCCTCTGCTGCCACACAGACAGGCTGAGAGACAGACAGGCTGAGAGACAGACAGGCTGCCACACAGACAGACAGGCTGCCACACAGTCAGGCTGAGAGACAGACAGGCTGCCACACAGACAGGCTGAGAGACAGACAGGCTGAGAGACAGACAGGCTGCCACACAGACAGGCTGAGAGACAGACAGGCTGACACACCGACAGGCTGACACACAGACAGGCTGCCACACAGACAGGCTGACACACAGACAGGCTGAGAGACAGACAGGCTGAGAGACAGACAGGCTGAGAGACAGACAGGCTGACACACAGACAGGCTGACACACAGACAGGCTGAGAGACAGACAGGCTGAGAGACAGACAGGCTGAGAGACAGACAGGCTGACACACAGACAGGCTGCCACACAGACAGGCTGAGAGACAGACAGGCTGCCACACCGACAGGCTGACACACAGACAGGCTGAGAGACAGACAGGCTGACACACAGACAGGCTGAGAGACAGACAGGCTGCCACACCGACAGGCTGACACACAGACAGGCTGAGAGACAGACAGGCTGACACACAGACAGGCTGAGAGACAGACAGGCTGCCACACCGACAGGCTGACACACAGACAGGCTGAGAGACAGACAGACAGACAGGCTGACGCACACACACACACAGACAGGCAGACAGACACACACAAAGACAGACAGACAGACAGACAGGTTCACAGACAGACAGACAGGCAGACAGACAGACAGACAGACAGACAGACAGACAGACAGACAGACAGGCAGACAGACAGACAGACAGACAGGCAGACAGACAGGCTGACAGACAGACAGACAGACAGACAGACAGACAGACTGGTCTGAACCAGATATTGGTGTCCCTCTTTTATACTTCTCTAAAGTGGCAGCTCAGCAGCACTCTGGTATCCACTGTTGGCAGGAAGTGGTGACAGTTTGACTATGAGTGAACACTACAGCCTTGTTTGGGATTAAGCAGTGTATAAAAAGTACTTTGCTTCCATGTGCTTGCTAGTATAGAACTTGTATTCAATTAATGACTTATTGTACTCACACAACTACAGTTTATGTTCCTTTGTAAACAAATTATGTAATTTAAAATGATTCAACCATAGACTCTTCATTGGCACATGTTAAAAGCAAGGGTTAAAATCAACAGTTGTTTATCCCTTAGTCTCTCAGATAGTGTGGGAATATTTAATATGTCATATTTACATGCTGACTTCCTGTTCACATGAAGGCATACTCTGCCTCATCCTGAGTGTGTGTGTGTTGTGCTGGGCCTGCAGTGTGTGAGTGTGTAATGATGAGGAGCTGACCTGACCCTGGGCTCCAGGGGGCAAAGGTCAGAGTGTGGTTCCCACGCTTTAAGCTCAAGTATAAAAGTAAGAAGAGTAAATAGTGGGAATAACAGATATCACTGAGTTGGCTCACTGACTTCATCGCTATCCACTTCTGTTACGGTGCGTCTACACAGCAGCGTTAAAAAAATCTTGAAACGCTTCTGCCCATTCACTTTGAATGGGGTGACGTCCAGGGGCGTCGCCTGGACCTGAAAACATTCGGGGCTTAGCCCACAGTGGCGGCGGCACTACAGTGGCATTTTTCACTGCAACACTCCCCACACGCACACACAGTACACCCGCGACTGTTACAATGAAGGCTCGATAATCAGCTCACGGCATATATGCAGGGGTAAAGTGGTATTTTTTATGAGTGGGGGGCTCACCTCCTCTGGGGGGTCCGGGGGGATGCTCCCCCAGGAAGATTTTTTTTTAAATATTGAAGTTAAATGCATCAATCTGGTGCACTTTGAGAGCAAAATGAAGAGATCTATGGATACCTCTCTCAACACCCATATGAAGCAGAACTGTAAACAGATGTACTTTTTCTTTATGGATATTTTACTAATCACTCCCCTTTTAAACTCTATTCTTGTTTTACTGCCATATAGTATTTCATAACTGTTTTTCCTTTATTCTCTTATTTTTTTTATAACTATAATGATCATATGAAGGTGTGCCGCGGAAATAATCTTTTGAATAATTTGTGACCAAACCGTTTGAGACCCACTGAGATAACTTAGACTAAAGTTAAGTATCTAAACACTCAGAGAGTCCTTTAGCTCACCTGAGTCTCTCAGTCTGAGAGGAGAGGACTCTCCTCCAGCTTCTTGTGGAACAAACAGCTCCTTATGTCCGTTAGTGCAGCTAGCTAACCAGATGCTAACAACACGGTCCATGCTGGCACTGGTCCCTCTCTCCCTCTCTCTCTCTCTATCACACTAAATGCGCTATTGCCACACACACACACAGAGCCGAGCTTGAATGACACAAGCACACGTTTATTTCCATGCAACTCTCTGATTGGTCTGGTGTCATGCCTCTGTTGCATTCACTGAACACGGGAAATTACAGTGCTGCCGTCCTCTCTTGTGTCATGATGAGGTTCACGTAAAGCACGGTTAATGTATTATATTATTGAGGGAGAATTGTCCGGGGCTACAGAAAAAACATTCGGGGCTAAAGCCCCGGATGCCCAGGCCAGGCGACGCCACTGGTGACGTCACTTTCCCTCACTTTTCGCCGAAATGCATTGTGGGCAGGCGAGCGGAGATTTTCAGGATTTTGAGGATTCAAAGTTGAACAATGTTCAACTTTTGAGGCTGAGGTGGAAGCGTCAGCCAATCAAATCCTGTGTACGCAAATCTGACAGTTCAAGCTCTAGCCAATCAAACAGCGTGTATGCTGGGAGAGAAATACCGCAGGTCATTTCCTCATATTCCAAAAAATGGAGGAGAAATTAGCGGTAGCGAATCAATCACCCGGTGCTTTATGACCAGACCTACCGGGATATAAACCGGAGGAGCCAGGCATGGAGGGAGGTGGCAGAGACAGTGGTAGGTTTTCGCCTGTTTTGGGGAGTTTATATCCAGTTTACTTCGGGCTTTTTTGCTTCGTATATCCCGGGCGGGAGATTCATGTGATTGGTTGCTCGCAAAAAATCCTCAAGCTTCAGATACGCCCACCTCCAAGATTTTTTTAACGCTGCTGTGTAGACGTACCGTGAGAGTATAATTTCGCATTTAGACAGATCTCCTGCTTCACACGTCTTATAAAATGTGCATCTTCTCTGGTTTATATTGTTGTAAATTGAATGTTATTGGGTTTTGGAGTGTTGGTTGTGATTTTGAGCGTTGCCTTTAAGGTCTGTAAAGTTTGCTTTTTGTTGAGTTTTTACACTAAACAGTGACTTATTAACTAGCAGTTTGAGCTCTAAGTGTTTGGCATCATATGGCAGTTGAAAATATAATTGTTGAAAACAATCATACTTTCCGCATCCAACCTGTAGAAGAAGCGTCTTAATGCCTGAACAGAAGCTTTTAAAGCACTTCTTGAGGTGCATCTAACGGGCCGAGGATAATGTGTGAACAGGACGGAGCGAGGCCCAGAGAGCAGACAGCTGGGGCGTTAAAGAGCCGAGGCCAGTTGTCCGGAGGCTGATCGCCTCAAGCAGGCGTGTGCAGGAGTCCAGAAGAGTCACAGCTGAATGTGACCTTGTTACTGTAGATCCAGGCAGTCAGAGCTGACCTCAATCCAATGGGTTTATATAACCTAATGAAAAAGTGTTAAACTGATACCAGAAACATGTCACATGATAGGCTTTGGTTGAAATGCTGCAACTACTGGCACTGACACTGCTGTTTAAACACACGTCCTCTCATGACCAATGTCGTCTCAGGAATGAATACCCTCTTGAGTCCAGGGAGAAAGTACAACAACCTACATGTTGTCGGGGGGGCTACTGACTGTCATTTGACCCTCACTTCTTCACTTGCATGTCTCTAGCACATGTATGTGTGTGTGTATGTGTGTGTGTGTGTGTATGTGTGTGTGTGTGTGTGTGTGTGGTCAGTGGGCTCTCTAGGCCTGTATCCAACAGGTGCTGAGCGTGTCGGGCTCTGATGGTGAATGGGTTCTTTGTTGCAGAGGATTCACCCTCAGAGCCAACACACACACACACACACACACACACACACACACACACACACACACACACACACACACACACACACACACACACACACACAACACACACACACACACACACACACACACACACACACACACACACACACACACACACACACACGGTGCTGAAACGACAGCAGGTTGCTTAAGAATAACCACATCTAAACACATCGGATCTGTTCAAAGCAAATGCTGCAGTATCACATTTAGAGATAAATGACCAACAGCAACGAGAATAGAGAGTAATTAGACTCCATAGACTGCTGTTGTAATAAGGTAATGGTAATGAGGTCATGAAATGATGCCTTCACTGACATGTTAATGCAGGACCTCTCATGGATCTGAAGCCAGCTTTAGTTATGTTTATTGTAATATAATGTTTGTTCGATTTGAATGGCACTTTGCTGCCTTCGCAACACAAGATGTACTGAATGTCAGTTGACATTTACTTCAAATAATTTGCTGTAGACACAATACATAAAGAAACAAGTTTTATTTTATTTTTATCAGAGCCCTTCTAAATCAAAACACATTTTTTCTCTGTGATCCACTTTGTGAGGGAAGTACAGAAAATAGGAATAGTCAAGTAAAAGTACTTGGTACTTTTCCACCAATGCATATTCACAACTCTGTATACTTATCTGTATACTACATATTGGACTGTATTCTTATTATACCTCCAGCTATATCATTTATTACGTCATTATGTTTTAATTTTCAGAGATTAAATTATATCTAAAAAAAATTGAGTGAAATTATGACATATACTTGCATGCCTGCAAGATGAGGAAGAATCTTGTTAAACACCTCTATGCAGAAAGCCCTAACAGGAAGTGAACATACAGAGTGCCACATTCAGAACAAAAGAGCTCTACTCTTTGTTGTTTCACAGGCATGCTAACAATAAGGGAAGGAGTCACTGAGACTTTTGACAACTTTTTGGTGGCTTTGCCTCAGGTAGGTTGGATCCTTGGGCAAGATATTGATCCCCAATTTGCTCCTGACGGCCTGGACAACCGTGTGTGAGTGTGTGTGAATGTTAATAAATCCTGAAGCCAGCCTTGTATGCCAGCCTCTGTATACATGTGTGTATATGGGTGACTGCAGACTCACGTTGTAAAGCACTTTGAGGTTTCACAAATACTGGGAAAGTAGTATATAAATGCTTTCCATTTCCCATCCATTTACTAATGATTTAGAAAATGACTGAAATTAAGGCAATGTTGCCTTGTGAATCTTTTGATTACTCAGATCTGCGACTTGTAGCAATATTTTGAAAGTTGTCGTAGGCCTTCAGCAGCATCCAGAACTACCAACTAAATGTAGATCTTTGTTTTGCAAATTACAATATCGCAGCACTGCTGCACATTGAGGTTGTCTTTGTGTTCAGTATCTTACTTTTGTCATTTGAAATGTGCCATAGAGTTTGTTCTGCCTTCTAACCTTAATTTCCATTTCCCCTGTTCTTTATTATAGAACAAACTGGCAAAGGCTCTGTATGACAACACTGCAGAGTGTGCAGATGAGCTGGCTTTCAGAAAAGGGGACATTGTCATGGTGATGGATCAAAGCGTGGCTGGGACCAGTGGATGGTGGATGTGTTCTCTTTATGGACGCCATGGGCTGGCCCCTGCAAATAGACTGCAGCTTTTACCACAAACTGGAACCACTGCAAGCTCATTAAGCCATGACACAGAAACATCCAGATTTACTGATGCTGAAACTGATGACAGTGTGCAAAATATCTACCAGATCCCATGTGTACCCCGACCATCCAGCAGCCCAGCTTATGAACGCATGGATAAGATCTACAAGGTCCCGTCCACTCATTTATCAGCTTCAAAAATTCCAGTGCAGCAGGCACTAAGGCACAGCAAAGAAGGACCTGAGGAAAACCAGGTAACAAACATTGAATTTATGTAGAAAAAAGCTAAATCCTAAATGTAGATCTTAGTCTCTCTATTTATCTGGGGTCAAAGTTAGGACTTTTCCTTGGAAGAGTTCACCCTCTTGATTAGAGAGGTAGAATGTTGCAGAAATGCAAAGCTGTGAAACCCCTGCTGGCAAAAGAGCTTACAGATGGGGACCAGGGGCCTCTCCATGGGACAGGCATGTAGCACCGGGGTCTTTATGGGCCTGTAAAAGACCAACAGACACAGACTTCAGACACTTTTAACTTCAAACAGCAGCTCATGCCGCTAGGGACCCAAAAAGACAGAAGTGTCTGTATGGCAGAAGGTGGAGAGAAATAAACTCACATGTTCACCATTTCCTCTCCCGCTCCAGGGGATTCCTGTTCCTTTCTGCAGTAGCCACCAAAGATTAAACAAGCAGCAAGGTTTCTATTATAGAGCTGCGTTAATTGGCAAAGTGTAACATAATTGGGGTTCTCCCGCACTCTCTATGGGCAAACACTGTCCACATAAATGTGTTGATCGAGAGGTCAATGAGGTAATGCAGCTTTGATCAAAGCAGCGCAAGTGTTAACAGTCAACCCTGAAGAGAGCCTGTCTTTCTGTCTGCAGCCTTCATTCTCAAGCAAGCTGTCCAGTTCTACAGGAGAGGTTTACGATGTCCCGAGCCAAGCAAGACGAGCTTCTCTTTTCAGCGTGAGCTCCTGCATTTAACACAACCAAATGCATCACATAGGGGCTTTTTGTAAATATTATGCCACTTTACTGTTATTGATATGTTCTTTTTGCAGGCATCAACCACTCCCAGACATACGCCACGGAAACCCTCCCTGATTCCAATTTCAGAGCTGGAGAAAAGATTTGATTCTCCGGAGAGTTTAAGTTGTGGCAATCCGGTAGACTCTTATGTGAGTTAAAGACATTTACAAGGATTATTGACCCTAAAATGTGCTAAATTAAAAAAGTCATTTAAAGACTTTTTTTGTCTGCATAACTGTAATAATGACAACTTTTTCCTTGTGAACAGGTGTATGCAGTTCCACCATCCTTGCCTCAGGATCCAAACTATGATATCCCTGTTCCTTCCACCACAGAAGCCCAACAAATAATGATGGGTGGATACAGCACCCTTCCCATCCCCTGCAAGCCTGAGTGGATTTATGATGTGCCAGTGGGTCCTGAGAAACTTAGTCCAACCCAAATCTCCAATGATACCATGCCCTCCAAAGCCATTTGTAGACTCTATGACACTCTTTCAGCACATCCTTGGCCCATTCAAGGAGGCATTGCAACCTCCTTGCTTTATGATATACCAAAACACAATTCACTTGACATCGTGAGTCCACCCAAAGTGTTGCCAAGGGCCCCAATTTATGACAAGCCCCCAACTCAGAGGATTGTGGAGGACATTGTTTATGCAGTTCCACCCCAGGAGGAACCTTTAACTCGAGTTCTCAATCAACCGTCCAGTGATCATATCCCATTAGAGTGCAGGGGCGACTCAAGTAATGCTCATGAATTCACAAAGGTGCGTCTGCAGCGAATGAGGAACTTTCTGGCCTGCACATCTTTCCATTACCTTCCCGGAAGTGGGGAGTCACCAGTGCAAGAGGACAATGATCAAAGTAAAACCCTGCGACTCTCCGCAGCAGACAGTCAAAGAATCAGCAGGGCCTCCAGCTCCTCCGCTAGCTCCTGTGACTCTCTGACTCTGAATTCCCCCTCTCCCGAGCCTCTGCGAGAAGTGACGCTCAGCCAGGATCAAGCCTGTCGCAAAATTCTGGACCTGCAAATTTCAATTTGCGAGGCTGTCCCCCGTCTTATGGAGTTTGTCAGCAGTCACTGGAGGAGCAAAGAACACCTGGAGAAACACCTGAAGGAAATCAAAGAAGCATCAGAGGGGATTGCATGTTCTCTTATGTGCTTCCTAAACTTTGCTTTGGATGTTAAGGGCAATGCACGCCTTTTGACCGATGCCAACCTTCAGACAAGGCTCTATAAACAGCTGTCCATTGTGGAAGACTCAGGCATGATCCTTCAACAAACAGTTAGTGCACTGAATATGACTGGCTGGACCCTGAATACACTTTGTCAGGACTCTGGGCAGGTCCAGGTACCTGATCAACTGGAGCGCTTCGTTATGGTGGCCCGCACTGTTCCAGAGGACATCAAGCGTCTGGTATCCATCATCAATGCCAATGGCAAGCTTCTGTTCAGAGCCTCACAGAAAGCTCCAGAGCCTCTCAACCCCTTAGGTCAGCTGGATATAAAGAAGAGTCCTGATGTGAGTGAACCAGGAGGGGCCTTGGTGGAGGATGACAATGACTACGTAGAGCTACAGGTAAAAACTTTTGTATCTTCTTAGTCCTCCTAAATTATAAAGTTGAGTTACCATGGTAACTGATGATGAACTTGTATCCAAAGGAAACTCAAAGCATACAGTAACTTTCATGATCGACCACTTTTGACTCAGACACAAATTGACTTTGAAAAGCAGCAGATGGAAGTGCAGAAAGAACCAAGAGATAAAGTCACATCAGACAAAGTCTATAACAATATACAGGTCAGTATCTTCTTTTTAAACAAGGGGTTTGTTCCTGTTAAATGAGCATGACCAAATTGAGAAAAATCTTTGCATCTTAGAAAATGTATTTTTTATACATTATCTATATATGTCTCCATCCAGGAATCAAAACCGTTCTTGTACTCAGATAAAGACAATGTGTGTCAATCTTTGCCTTCTTTGTTCCACTGCTTAGGCTCTTAACAAGCGTCACTCCTCTGAGTCCTGCAGCGGCACAGAAGAACATCGACCAGCCTCTGTGTCAGAGCACTGCCGGCTTTATTTTGGTGCTCTCCAGAAGGCCATCGGGGGATTTGTGGGCAGCCTCCGGGATGGTCAGCCACCAGAGAAATTCATCTCGCAGAGTAAACTGGTGATCATGGTGGGCCAGAGGCTGGTGGACACCCTGTGCAGAGAGGCCCAACGTGGAGGGTCCCCCCAGAGCCTCCTGTGTAAGAGTAACCACCTGTGTGCTCTTCTGAAGCAGCTGGCTGTGGCCACCAAGAAGGCAGCACTGCACTTCCCTGATAAGCAAGCTCTGCATGAGGCTCAAGAGTTTGCTAAAGAACTTGCCCAAAGAGCACAGCACTTTCGAAAATCGCTTGACCTCTGAACATATCAAGCACGTGGATTTGTTTGTACAGCAAAAAACATTTAGTCATCATCTCTTTTAGTTTTCATTCATGCCATATTCAACTACATTGATGCTTCACTAGCCAAAGGGTCATCACTTGAGCTAAAATTCGCCACAATTATGAATGCAGGTACTGGTTACTACAGTGGAGGAAATAATTATTCGATCCCTTGCCGATTTTGTAAGTTTACCCACTTACAAAGAAATGAACAGTCTATCATTTTAATGGTAGGTTTATTTGACTAATGAGAGACAGAATATCAAAAATAATATCCAGAAATGTACATCATATAAGAGATATCAATTAATTTGCATTTAATTGTGTGAAATAAGTATTTAATCCCCCAACGAGAATTCTCCCACAGACCAACCGGTCTGTGGGAGAATAACATACGTCCTCTTCCTTTAAGAAAGTACTCCCAATATCAACTTTGTTACCTGTATAAAAGACACCTGTCCACAGAATCAATCAATCAGATTCCAACCTCTCCACCATGGCCAGACCAAAGAGCTGTCTAAGGACCTCAGGGACAGGATTGTAGACCTGCACCAGGCTGGGACTGGCTACAAGACCATCAGAAAGCAGCTTGGTGAGAAGGAGACCACTGTTGGTGCCATTATTCAGAAATGGAAGAAACACAAAATGACCATCAGTCGCCCTCGGTCTGGGGCTCCTTTGGGGGTGTTTCTCTGCTAAGGGGACAGGACGACTTCCCTGCATCGAGGAGAGGATGTACGGGGCCATGTACCGTAAAATCTTTGCCGATAGCCTCCTTCCCTCAGCCAGGACTCTGAAAATGGGTCATGGAGGGGTCTTCCAGCAGGACAATGACCCTGAACATACGGCCAAGGCAACACAGGAGGGGCTAAAGAAGAAGCACATTTAGGTGATGGAGGGGCCTAGCCAGTCTCAAGACCTTAATCCCATAGAACATCTGTGGAGGGAGCTGAAGCTTCCAGAGGCCAAGCATCAGCCTCAACACCTGCAGGATTTGGAGAGGATCTTCAGAGAGGAGTGGACCAACATCCTTCCTGAGATGTGCACAAACCTGGAGACCAGCTACAAGAAGCGTCTGACCTCTGTGTGTCCAACAAGGGTTTCTCCAGCTATACTAAGACATGTTTTGCAAGGGGATCAAATACTTATTTCCCACAGTTAAATGCAAATCAATTATGATCTTTTATATAATGTCAATTTCTGGATTTTCTTTTTGATATTCTTACTCTCACTGTTAAATTAAACCGACCATTAAAATGATAGATTGTTCATTTCTTTGTAAGTGGGCAAACATACAAAATCTGCAAGGGATCAAATTATTATTTCCTCCACTGAAGGTAGAAAGAAAGCATCCAAAATAAGTTGCACATTTAGGATACTGTACTCAAGCCAATTTATAATGCAATTCAAATATAAAGTATAAAAAAACATTTGTATTATATAATTTACAACATTTTGTACTTGGAATATGTTTTTGTTGATGTTTTATGTATTTTATTTCTTTATTGTATAAGAGGTATACTCTTCAGGGTAATAGTTTGATACAGTATTCTTTTTATGAATATATGGAAATACTCTTAAAGAAATTTGTTAGGCATTCCCAAACATCATGTTGGCTTGGATTGATATAAAAAATAAAAAATGAGCACTTTCTATGACCTTTTGCTATTTTTTATGTTAATCATACATCAGGCATCCTCAAAGTCCGGACTCTGGTCCGGATCCGGACCGAACCACAACTGTCTCTGGACTCTGAGCAAATTATACTTTTCATATGTATTATCCAACCCGGTATCACGGCAAGACGTGAACATGTGACGATTTACCATGCTGGGAGGCGTGAAGATGTCATGATTTTGTCCCTTCAAACGTGACAGTTACACGGTATTGTTAACATGGCCCAACCAGTGGAGATATACCCGGAAATGCCAAGCAAATGCTACCCCGACGGTCGGTTGTTATTGTCAATATTAATATAATAATGATTTATTTTTTAATAGTCACACTCGATTTCGCCGATTTTCTTGTGGCCCTAGCTGGTCGACACCTCTTTTAGCAGATACAAAGGCTACATTAATGTATTAAATCGATGTTAATCCATGTGTGTGGATGTGGAATTAACGGACGTGACGTTGTGCGATTGCGTTGCCAGGCAACAGCTTCGGTTTATGTTAATTTACAAACTCTTCAACTCGAACCGTAGTTATATTTAAAAACATTTTAGAAGGCCTCACAAAATACTTTAATGTCAATTAAAATGTAAATGTGAAGGAATGTGTGTATAACAAAATACATCCGTCAAAAACAATACCGGAAACAGACAGATCCTCAGCTCGGTGATTCGATGGTTTAACCGCAATGCACGTTGGGAAATGGTGTTTATGCGATGTGAAATCCGAAAACATTTAAAAAAAAAATAATAATACTTTATTCCGAGTGTGCTTGCTTTTCTCTTTGAAAGTCATCACATAACGGCATTGTAATACACGGGTCGGCTGCATTAAATATTACATATCTGCCGTAGTTCTCTATTTATAGAGCCCTGATGAGAAGACTTCTGGACAAACAGGAAGCACTGCCGCCAAAACTGAAAACGTGACGTGGATCATAAATATATCAGCAATTAAACAACATCTTAGATTTCTTTTCACACAATACGTCTCCTTGCAGTATCAACACTAATTTGACTGACTTTCATATTTGATCCAATTGGTAGATAGGCTGTATTTACACCATAACGGTGCACAGCTGATAGAAAGGGACACCTAGTGGTTAAAGCACGTTATTGAATATTATTATTATTTTATTATTTTTCACAAAAATGAAACCATCAATAGCAAAAACAGAATTAACTGTCATTAGTAAACCACTCAAATTAAAAGATCATAAGTGGTTTTGTTTTACATATACTTTAAGGATAATAATATCAATGTAACACTGTCTATGACACTTAAAACACTGATTTGAAAAACATACAGAAAAAAATTATTCACTGCCCTTAACCTCTTACGCACCGCCCCCCCCCCCCCCCCCCCCCGGTACCGGGCGGATAAACGCGTCATTTGCAGGAAACAACGTTTAAGGAATCTTAATATTTAATAAACTATGAATGTTTTATATCCATGTAACGGGAAGAAACTCAGCTAACTGATCTTTTTAATTAAAAAAACAAAAAACAAAACAATGCTAACACTCAGTCTCTGAATTAGCCACGAGCGAAAAAATGAATGAGAATCGATGGGTACCCACATTATCACTGAATTATACGAATTTGCGACGTTATAAGCAAAAACGGTCATCAAAACAGGTGACGCTAGGTAGCTAAAAATGCTAACATTTTTACCTTGGCTCTGTAGTCTCTCCAAAGTGGTCTTCAATGGCATTAAAACGATAAAAACGCTGCTGAAGTTAATCCATAGGTTAATCCAATGTGTCTGTGTCCCTTTGAAATGATTTCTGATAATCCATGAGCAATAAAACGGATAATCCATGCTTTTACGTTTCTAGATGTCAGAGCTAGACTGTAGCTTCACTCTAATGCAAAATTACATGCGCAAAGCCCCCACCTTTTTGTTTCACAATGAGTGTGTGTGGGGGACTCCCCCTTCGATTCTATTGGCTCTAACGGTCAGAAAGAGGTGTCAACCATCAAAATCGACCAATGGGTTCCAGAGATATGGAAAAAAAAACATTTCCACCCAAATCACCTCAGAGGTGGAGTATTTTTGGCTAAACCTCTCTAAAAAGGTCAAATGTCACTTGTTTTGCATCAATCTTGATACAGGGTACTTATTATATGTTGTACTTTGGACTCCTAAAGCTTTTAGTCTACCTTACCATCATCCAAGGGTAGTTTTCACTATAAGTAAAAAAGAATATTTGGACGGACACTATAATTTACAGTTTTTTACTATGTAAAATCTGAATTTTCTTTAAAATAAAAAACATCTATATTGATTCTGACTTTTCTACATCCAACTCACAGGTTTATCATTACTTTGAGAAAAAAGATTATTAATTTAACCCTTTTAGAAGGGAAGATATGGTCATTTGTTCTGGGAATGTCATTTTCGAGCCTGAGACCTGAAAAACAGGCTCAGGGCTTAACAGGTTAAGATTTGTATTTGAGTACCCCTGCCATACATGAACCACAGTGACCTCTGTAGAAAGGCTATAAAAGGGAATATCACACACAGAGCACTATTCAGTAATGTCATCAGTTATTTATCTAAGGATCCAGGGTCTTTGGATTTTAACCCGTTATCAAGAGTAAAGGTTAGGATATCAATAAATCAATCACATTTATTTATAAAGCACATTTAAAAACAACCCACTTTGACCAAAGTGCTGTACAGAACAGAGCAGGTAGCTGACACTACCTTCAGATAAATAGATAAGTAAGTACAAATATAAAAATAGGTCATATGCACAACAAACATAGGCACAGGCACAATCAGCCAGATATGGAGGAGTCAAACACTAGAGAGTAAAAGTGTGTTTTTAACCTGGATTTAAAACAATCAATGGAGGGGGCCGATCTGATAGGGAGGGGGATACTGGAGAGAGGCCAGAATGGGGGTAATATGGACCCTCTTCCGGCTACCTGTGAGGAGCCTGGCTGCGGCATTCTGGACCAGTTGCAGGCGGGACAGGGATGACTGACAGATCCCATTATACAGGGAGTTGCAGTAGTCTAAGCGGGATGAATTGAAGGCATGGATGACTTTCTCTAGATCTTTAGAAGACAGAAACGGCTTGATTTTGGCGATGGTTCGAAGCTGGAAAAAACTGGCTTTAACTACTGCATTGACCTGTTTGTCAAACTTAATGGCAGAGTCAAATATAACACCAAGGTTTTTGACATGGGGTTTGACAAGGGCGGACAGGTTGCCAAGACTGTTAATAAATGCTTTAAGGGATTCAGGGGGGCCGAAAAGGACAACTTCCGACTTGCTTTCATTTAGCTGCAAGTAGTTTTGTGCCATCCAACCCTTAATTTCCTCAAGGCAGTTCATGAGGTTCTTAATATTGGACTGGTCGTGTGTTTTCAGGGGGAGATAGAGCTGTATGTCATCCGCATAACAGTGGAAGGAAATATTATATTTTTGCATGATTTTGCCCAGAGGAAGCATGTAAATAGAGAACAGAATAGGACCTAGGATGGAGCCTTGTGGGACACCGCAGGGGAGACTAGCCAGGGGGAAGAAAAAATGCCCATGTTGATGGAGAAGCTTCTGTTTTTGAGGTAAGATGTGAACCAGTCTAGGGCAGTACCATCAACTCCCACTGCGTAGTGGAGGCGGTGTAATAAGATGTCATGATCTACTGTATCGAATGCCGCACTGAGGTCAAGAGGAATCAGGATCGCACAGTTACCAGAGTCAGCAGAGAGGAGCAGGTCATTGTACACTTTCAACAAGGCAGACTCTGTGCTATGGTGGGGCCTAAAACCTGATTGAAATCGTTCCAAGATCTTATTTTGGTGTAGGTAGGGCTGCAGTTGACTGAAAATAACCTTTTCAAGAACCTTTGAAAGGAAAGGAAGTGTAGATATAGGTTGGTAGTTACTAGGCAGGATGGGGTCTAAATTGTTTTTTTTCAGGTGGGGCGTGACCACTTCATGCTTGAAGCAGGTTGGAACGGTACCAGTTGACAGAGAGCTGTTAATTATGGAGAGGAGGCTGGGGCCACTAGTGTCAAAGACATCCTTCAGAAGGGCAGTGGGGACCCAGTCAAGAGGGCAGGTTGAAGGTTTCATGGTGGAAACAATCTGTGTAAGGGAGGGTAGTGTAATGGGTTTAAAGCAGTCCAGTTTGGAGGAACAGACTAGCGGGACGGCTAGGTCACAGATGGGGGGGCTGATGTTCATTCTAATATCCTCAACTTCTAATTCTTCACTCTTAGCAGGAGACATGTCTAAGCTGGTACTGGGGGCGGGCGGATGATAGAGTTAATGGTACTGAATAATACCTTGGGATTTTGGGAGTTGTTTGAAATTAGGTTGGAAAAGTATTGTACCCTTGCAGCCTTAACTGCTCCCTGATATTTGAGAAGATTGTTCCTCAGCATTTCAAAGGAAATTTGAAGCTTATCACACTTCCACTTCCGTTCTGATTTTCTGCACTTCCTCCTTAGGGCTCTGGTAGTGTCATTAAGCCAGGGCAAAGCTTTAGGTTTAGGCTTTTTCAATTTAAGGGGAGCAACAGAATTCAGGATTGAAGAGCAGGTGGTGTTAAATAAGGAGGTAAGTTATTCAGTGCTGAGATGGGGAGGAGAAGCTTCAATAGTGCAGATATTTGGAGCAGCTTTGAGAGCCTCAGAGAACTTAATGGCAGTCAATGAGTTAATGTAGCGAGAGCAACGTTCAGGAAGGTGAGGTTTAGCTGGAGAAAAAGGCAGAGATGCATCAAAATTAACAGAACTATGATCCGACAGACAAGCATCAGTTATTTTCACGTTGCCAAGGTTTCCGTCACCATCAGGAAATCCGATCCACGGTCAGTAGAGGAGAGGAGATTTTGGAAGACTACACTGCCGCATTTCACAGAGAGCCCCGCGGAGATCCCACGGTGACTATGTCCGTGTCTGGGACAATCGGCGGGAGAAAGGCATACCCGGGCCGTTTCTCAATGTCGAGTATACCTGCTGCAGAGCCACT